CCGTCCAATGCATCAACAAAATCTACTCCTTTCGGGTCGTGTTAACGGACATAGCGCGAAAATTCTTGTCGATACAGGTGCCACTGTTTCCCTCCTTGATGAAAAGTGGTCACACCGCTTGGGGTTCTCGTTGAAGAACCGTCATGTCCCATTTGTCTTGGGGACGATAGTCTTATTCCAAGCAAAGGACAAACATTGATCGACATGGAAATCCAAGGCTATAGCGAAAAGATTCGCACTTACGTTCTCCCCTTGCTTGCAGGTGTCGAAGTAGTCTTGGGAATGGATTGGTTACGTGCAAATGAGGTTATTTTGGATTTCCAGGATAACACAGTTTCTTTCACCAAGAATGGTGAACCAATCCAGTGGCAGGTGTCTGTCGACACAACCATCCCGGTGGTTCAAATTACGAAAAGTGCAGACGTGTGCTTTGCTCTTGCATGTCAATTCGGACAGCATTACCGTGTTGCTAACACACTTTTCGTCGTACAGCTCGAGGAAGCTGGAACCCCAACGCCAGGCATTGAGGATTTTCCACCTCAAATGAAGGTACTGGCGGATGAGTTTAAGGGGGTTTTTTAGTCTATTCCAGACGGACTCCCTCCTGACCGCGCCGAGGGCCACACCATCCATGTGGAGCCTGGAAAGCTCCCACCGCTTCGACCTCTGTATCGCCTCAGTCCAGCTGAGTACGAGGAGGCTAAACAACAGATTGAGGAGTACCTCAGGAAGGAATGGATTGAGCCAAGCGCATCACCATATGGAGCACCAATCTTGTTGTTAACAAGAAGGGTGGTGGCTTACGCATGTGCGTCGACTACCGCGCCTTAAACAAGATCACGATCAAGAACAGATATCCTCTTCCAAGGATAGAAGACCTATTCGATCGACTCCAGGGTGCTCAGTGGTTTAGCGCGTTGGATCTGGCACAGGGGTACCACCAACTGCGCATCACTGAAGAAGATGTTCCCAAGATGGCGTTCTGTTCGCCGTTTGGCCATTTTCAATGGCGTGTGCTGAGCTTTGGCTTGACCAATGCTCCAGCCTCTTTTCAAAGGGCCATGAACGATGCGTTCCGCAAAGCAATCGGGCACTTCGTTCTGGTTTACCTTGACGACATCTTGGTTTATTCCAAGACTGAAGAGGAGCACACTCAACACCTAAAATGGGTGTTAGGAAAGTTGCGAGAACACAAGTTCTATGCTCGTTTATGGAAATGCCATTTCTACAAACGCGATCTGGAATACCTCGGTCATCTTGTCGGGAATGACGGACTTAAAGTCGACCCCAAGAAGGTGGTGGCTGTTCAGAATTGGCCCGTCCCACAAGACGTGGGCCAAATCAGGTCCTTCCTAGGCCTGGCCAATTATTTCCGCCGGTTCTTGGAAAATTACTCAACTGTCGTTGCCCCTCTGACAGCACTCACCCGAAAGGGTAGTGCATGGGAGTGGACTCGACAATGCTAAGAGGCATTTGACAAAGTCAAAAACAAAGCTGACCAATGCTCCGGTTCTGGTATTGCCAAATCCTTCTAAACCCTATGAGGTGGTCATAGACGCCTCGACAGTAGGGATTGGGGCGGTACTCTTGCAGGAGGGCCGCCCAGTGGCATTTGAGAGTAGGAAACTCTCCCCGGCAGAGCAGCGCTATACGACGTCACAACAAGAGTTGCTGGCGGTCGTGCATGCGCTGCGAACATGGCAATGTTATCTGGAAGGTGTAGAGTTTGTGGTCACGACAGACCACTGTCCGAACACCTATTTCTCTACTCAAGCCACGCTCACTCGGCGCCAAGCCCGCTGGGCAGAACTCCTTAGTGGGTTCACATTCGATATTCGATATCGTGCAGGTTCTACGACCATGGCTGACCCCCTCTCAGTAGACAGCCGATAGGGGCAGCGACTGGGCTTGAAGAAACCGAGGATAAGGCAGTGGTTGCTGCTTGCTTCGGTATTCTTGCCGTGGCTCGAGTGAGTGAGGTCACCTTCAGTGGTTTTCTGAACGCATCCGCACAGGATACCATATTGACTCCTGGTTTCAGAACCCACAAAATACGAAGGGCCTCAAGTACGAGCATGAGCTCTGGTGGTGAGAGAAAGAGATTGTGGTACCCCACGTGGGTAACCTGCGGAATGATATAATTGAGGGAAGTGCATAGCACCAAGTACGGGGGACACCTGGGTATCAAGAAAACCCGGTGGGCCTTAAGTGACGAGTACTGGTGGCCTGGATTGGGGACTGAGGTCCAACAATCCGTGTCGCGTTGTGATGCATGCGCACGCAACAAGTCAGACACGAAAAAGCCTGGTGGTTTGCTTCAACCACTGGAGATTCCAGACGAACCCTGGGAGAGTGTCTCACTGGATTTCATCACAGACCTCCCAAAAATACGAGACGGTCATACTGCGATCTTGGTCTTTGTGGATCGACTGACCAACATGGTGCACTTCGTTGCTACTACAACAGACGTATCTGCGGAAAGATACGCCAAGTTGTTTGTAGAACACGTGTTCCGCTTACACGGGTTACCGCGTGTGCTGGTGTCCGATCGAGATCCGCGCTTTACAAGCCGGTTCTGGCACAAAGTTACACGGACACTCGGAACGAAGCTAAAGATGTCGTCAGCCTTCCATCCCCAAACGGATGGGCAGACAGAGCGGACAAATCGTACTCTTGAGCAAATGCTTCTTTCATTCATTGGCCCAACTCAGAATGATTGGGACGACTTGTTACCTGTGGTTGAGTTCGCAGTGAACAATTCCGTCCATGAAGGTACCCATGAAAAACCCTTCATTCTGAACTGTGGTCGGCATCCCACGACACCTGCTACGCATGGGATAGGCGGACATGAACAATTCCCTGCCGCGAAAGACTTTGTGGGCAAGCAGCAAGAAGCGCTCAAGTCTGCTCGCCACTGGCTGCAGCTGTCTCAGCAGCGACAAAAGTCTTATGCCGACATGAAACGCCGGGAAGTCTCTTTTGAGGTTGGAGACAAGGTATTATTGAGCACAAAGAACATTCGTCTCAAAATCCCTGGGGCACGAAAGCTGTTCCCTCGATGGATTGGGCGTTCGAGGTGATCCAGCGCGTTGGTGTGGTAGCTTACAAGTTGAAGTTACCCGAAACATTGCAGATTCACAATGTCTTCCACGTGTCTCTGCTCAATAAGTACATTGCTGAAGGCAAGTACTAACCTCCGCCAACGATCGTCCTCGGAGAGGAACTCTTTTATGAGGTCGAGCGTGTGCTCATGCACCGTGATCGACAGCGCGGCCGCAAGACAGTACGCGAGTTCCTCATTAAGTGGAAAGGCGATGGGCCTGAACACAACTCATGGGAGGCAGAGAAACATTTGACCAAAACTGTGGTTGACGGATATCTGGAAGACCTGGCTCAAAGAGCAGCCTCACAACCAGTGGATGGTGTTGACCCTGGTCGTAATGTGATTCGGCGCGCTCGAAGCACCTGTCCCCAGAAGCACTCTACGGCAACGAGGACGTTGCCACCTGGAGGGGGAGGAGTGTAACGCATGGCCTCTGCACAGTACGCGGGCCTAGAAACGACCTTCCCAACCGCTTTCCACAAATCGGCTACCTATGCTAGGTAGCACGAAATGGGAAGGAAGGGTTGGGAGGGGAGGATTGGGATTGGTCAACACTTGGGACCAATCAGATTTAGTTGTACAAATTGAGTTGGCGAAATTCCCAACTCACGCGATGGTGGATTTGCGACCAATCAGAACCAGGGAGTTGGTTGGCAGTGCCAACTCAACTCGAATATTCTTATGCTGTACACTATATGCTAATCTGAATATATTGCTGTAAACCTCTAATTGGTTGGAAATCCAACCCTTTTGCCACATAAGCTAGCTCACCTCCTTGGAGCCATGGTGGAGGTTGAGCAGCTGCTGGGAGTCATTGGAAGGGGTCTGAGCTGAGAAGCTCATTCTCAACTTCCCACTCCAAGAAATCAATCTTGAAATGGGATTTTTCTCTAAGTCATGAGCTCTCCTCACAAGCTTCCCTACACTAGTGGCTTCTAATGTGATCTCCTAGGGGAAGCCCTACCCAACCAGAGTCTCAACCACTTTTCTTCAAGGGCCTTCCTCAAGCTTAAGCTATCTCTTAGAGGAGGTTCCTCCTAAATACTACGCTAGGGGATCGTTAGTTGATTTTGTACTCCATTTTATATCCTAGGATCTTGGATGTTGGGTTTGGACTTCAACCCTTGTTGCCCATGATATAAGGGCAAGGGTTGTTACAAGTGCTGAGGGAGCTGGAGGGAGGAAGTCGAAAAGAAGAGAGGGGATCAGTGTTGGCGTTGGAGAGGCAGCCACAACAAGGGCACGGCGAGACATGAGGGAAGGGGCCTTTCGAGACAAGGGGAACCGCGAGAAGGGAGGGGAGGGGCCGTTCGGTCCAACAATCAACGGGAGGAGAAGAGGGGAGGTGGCACGCGAGTGCAGGAGAGGGGCGGTGGCAAACGATCGTGGGAGAGGGGAGGCGGCATGCGACCGTGGAGAGGGGAGGCGGCATGCGACGTGGGAGAGGGAGGCAGCATGCGACCTTGGGAGAGGGAGGTGGCGTGCGACCTTGGGAGAGGGGAGGCGGCGTGCGACCTTGGGAGAGGGGAGGCGGCGTGCGACCGGTGGGAGAGGGGAGGCGGCATGCGACCTTGGGAGAGGGGAGGCGGCAAGGAACCATGGGAGAGGGGAGGCGGCGTGCGGCCTTGGGAGAGGGGAGGCGGCAAGCGACCGTGGAGAGGAGAGGCGGCCTGCGACCGTGGTTTCGGGTGTGACGAGCAGAGAAATTTCAGATGAAACACAGTGACATGAGTGGGAAATATCGGAGAGAGGGGGCATGCGGAGAAATAAAACGCGGATACAGTAGCGGCGAGCGGTAAACTGCTCAGAGTGGGAAAGAGCGGAGAGCGGGAAAACGCAAAGGAGCTTCGGAGAGGAGAGGTGTCTAGCGACACCTGAATCGATTACGAGCGAGGGGAAGCAGGGAGGGAGCGTGGGGGAGCGCGTTGGGCGGATCGTGAAACCCACGCTGCGGCGAGAGGGAAATGGAGCCGGCTAGCGGAACGGGAGGCGGTGACGAGAGATGGTGGCGAACAGAGAGCGATGGGAGGCAGAAAAAGATACCCACGGGGCGGCGCAATGGAAGGGCGGCGGGAAATGATAGAGGTGGAAGGTAGTTGTGTGGAAATGTTATGAAACTGCTTCCATACCTTGTCAACGTCGGTGGAAATGCTATGAAACTCGGGCAACCTCCTATGTCATATCGCGGTGCACCGCTAAGATTGAAGGCGCTACTTTAAAATCAGACTCAGGCCCTACTGCAAGGTACTAGGCACCACCCTGAATGAATCTTAAGGAAAATACTACTGCATGATGGAATACCAGGGAGACGACTGAAAAAGGCTAAATGAAGTTTCGGCGAGGGAAGAGTTGTGCCCGAACCGCGCAAACATCTAAATCTGGGATGCGCGCCAAGACTTCTGACGCGATCCGTGCAACAACACTTGAGACATTAACGAAGTGATTCAGAGTCAGGTTTGCGATAATGGGTGGGTTGCAATGCACTTCATTATAACCAACAGTTTACCAACACTTAACCAACAGTTAACCAACATTACAAACATACATAAACATAACACGATGTACTACCATGATACGACGTATTGTCAAACAAGAAAAGTTACCACTGCTGTTTCGAATGCACACAAGGGGTGAAATAGAACGGAAAAATGAATATTTCGTACTAGAAAATGGTATCTAAAAACATCGGCCCGGACCAGTTTAAGCAAAATTAATTCCAACCCTTGGAGCATACAATGTAGGTGGCTGGAAAAAAAACTACTAGGTCTAATCAGGTATTACAAAAAAGAAATCATACTGAAAGAACATGGAAATCTATTTCCGTCGTAGGACACCAATTCAAGCAAACAGGATGTAACGAGTGCAACCTTATCGGCGATACTGACGTGGCACGCCTAGGAGCATTCCCCCCAACTCTGCCACACCAACTCACAGCCGTAAACAGCCAATCTTCATCAATTTGAACCAGCGAACAGTGCACCCCTTCCGTCGGTTCAACAATCGCGCCCAACACCGCCAGCCCTCACAATTTCCGCCCGTACCCCGACCCCTCCGTACCTTCCCGCTTCCCCCAGTATCCCTTCGTCCCCTGAAACAGCCCAAACCCGCCGTATCCAGCCGCATCTGCCAGTTTCCAACCACTTCGATTCTCACCGCTCGATGCGCCCGACATTGGCCAAATACGAGGTACAGGGGGTATGCTCTATGCTCCAAATCCGCGACTCGCAAATATGGACTAGGACGAAAAAGAGCGGTTCACTACAGCCAAAATGGATTATCGAGTAGCACGTACGGTTTTAGGTGGGGTGGCGTAGGCCGTTTTACTCGTTCTGTTCACGATGGGTGCCTTGGCGTATTGACCCGTGGGCCAGGTTACCAGCGACTTCGCCGCGTGTCATGTGAGGGCTCATGTGGCTTCTTAAAAAACGTTCAGCACATTTGTCGTCTGGTCAGAATTACCGCGGAAAATAGAAGTAACACCTCGTTCTCGACCTTCCGCAAGCAGCGCAGGCTCTAAACACGCAAATAATATAATTTGAAAAAACCCTTTTCGTGGTCTTACGAAAAGGGCTTAACGTAACGAAATTTTGACGACTCGCCTGAGCGGTTTCGTTAACCAATCACACACTTTCACGAAGGTGAAAAAAACCATTGAAGAAAAACATTTTCGAAATGTGCATTGGTTAATGGTGATTGAGGGACCGTGGGTCGTGTTTTCATATTCGGGACGAACCTGTTCGTGTCACGCGGAAAGCCTGAATATTTACGTCATTGGTTATAAAACATGGAAAACGCCTCGCATGTTCTTGACACGAGGATTAGAATAGGACCGAAATAATAAGACAGAATGGATGAAAAGGGGGTACGGATTCATGCACAGGTCAGCGCACATACAAAAGTGCCAGGTGGACGGGGGTACCAGCTGGCTGTCGCCCCGGGTCCGTCGTGATTACGTCTGATCGCCCTGGCAAGCGCGTATTGGCCGGGAAATTCCAAGCACAGTTCACGAGAAATTTCCGAGCTCGCACTCGCGGGTTGGTTGGCGACACTCACATGCTGGGATCGCACCCAATTCGGGTGGCGCGACTCGATGGTCGGTGGCATTATGCGATTGTCGTGATTGGTCACAATGTTTTATTGCGCTTTTTTAGCGAAGTCAACAGTAGATGTATACTGTACAGACGGAGTACATTGTGGCCGATCTTATCGAATTTCGGACCTTGGAGTATTACATGGAGTAAAATGTCGTGGACCTAATGGCATACCCGCTGTAGTCTCGAAGCCCAAAAAACGGCTAAGTCCCGGAAGCCCCAACATCCGCCGGTTCGACATTTTTCTGATGTGGCAATCGATGTTCGCGTGACCCTATGCTCAGGGAAGCAGATCTAAGTAAACAATTCAACACATCCCACTTTTAATGTTGCTCTGCGTGTTGCTCTGCATATTGCCCGTTGCCCTAGCCATCTTTTAACTAGCTTACTTTAACAAGCTCACGTTCAACTAGCTTTCGGGTAGGCAATGATAGTAAGAGACACTGAGAGATTATCTACATATACGCACGAGTAGTTACGGCTGTGGCGCGTGAAGCTATCGAGCTCATTTAACCCTCAGATGGAGTGGTTCCGTGATTTCTCTAGATATGGCACGCTCGAGCGCGCGCCTAGAAGAAAAGCGACGAGCAAAAGGGGGGGGGGGGGGAGAAGCGAAGGCAAGAATGGCGTGGGCTGCGGAGTGGGTAACTGACACATATGTCTTGGTCTCCTAAACTATGGCATGCATCCCTTAGACTATAGTAGACATCCATGTGCGCCCTCCCCCAATTTCAGCAGCATGTCCTTTTCAGAAGCACCTTAAATCCAGGGACCCAAGTTTCTAGAACCTGGGGCAAGTGTTTTACAGTTGTTTGGGAAAAACCAGGTTTTGTGTCGTGAGGGTGCGTGAATTGCAACAATCGTAGGCGATTTCACTGGTGCCTACAGCTTGCCGGCCAATCAGTA